TGGAGTCTGTTTTTGAAGTTTTTCTGTTGTAAGATAGCCACCCGCAGGTCTGTCAATGAATGACCAGACAGGTTAAAGTGTTCTCCCACTGGTTTTTGAGTATTATGATTCCTGATGTCAGAGTTGTGTCCATTAATTCTTTTGCATAGAGACTGTCAGGTTTGGACAATGTACATGGCAGAGAGGCATTGCTGGCACACGATGGCATATATCACATTGGTAGATGTGCAGGTGAACGAGCCCCTGATGGTATGGCTGATGTGATTAAGTCCTATGATGATGTCACTTGAATAGATATATGGACAGAGTTGGCATCGGGCTTTGTTACAAGGATAGGTTCCTGGGTCAGTGTTTTTGTTCAGTGATGTGTGGTTGCTGGTGAGTATTTGCTTTAGGTTGGGGGGTTGTCTGTAAGCGAGGACAGGTCTGTCTCCCAAGATCTGTGAGAGTAAAGGATCATCTTTCAGGATAGGTTGTAGGTCTCTGATGATGCGCTGGAGAGGTTTTAGTTGGGGGCTGAAGGTGACAGCTAGTGGTGTTCTGTTATTTTCTTTGTTGGGCCTGTCTTGTAGGAGGTGACTTCTGGGTACTCATCTGGCTCTGTCAATCAAGTGACATCATCATAGGACCTCAATATTTATTCCACTCTATATGCAATATCTCCTCAATATTTATTCCACTCTATATGCATCCAAAGAAGTGAGCTGTAGTCCACGAAAGCTTATGCTCTAATAAATTTGTTAGTCTCTAAGGTGCCACAAGTACTCCTGTTCTTTTTGCAGATACAGATTAACACTGCTGCTACTCTGAAACATGCAGAATAAGACTATACCCACACAGGTCCCATTAAAGCATTAGGACTTGAGATTTTAGCTTTCAAAGAGCTGTTCCTAAGCCAAGAGTGTACATGAATATGTACACTTCTCTTGACATTGTAGGATTTAATGCCCTGCACATGAGCCAGTCAGATGGCTTCAGTCATCTTGCCACACTCCATTTAGCTAAGAATAGGCCACCTGACCAAACAGCAGTGAGGCCCTAACATAGTAGTATTTGAAATACTCTGTGAGGATACTTGCCTTAGGTATAATTGGATCGGACTAGAATTGGAGGAGTGCTGTAGAATCATCCAATGAATCAATATTTTTAAGTCCTACTGACTCCCACACAGTTATAGAACATGATTCTTCTTAAAAGACAGCTCCTTTCAGCACAAAGATATCCAGAATCCAAATGCCTCTTTCCAGCAAAATAAGCAATCTTGAGTGTCCAATGTGCAGTCACATAGGAACAGGTATTTCAGCAGAGACTGGAATGGGTTCTTATAATAACTCTAGAGCCCACATAACAAACAAGAGGCACAGGAGGGCTGTGAAATACCCTAAGGGCTTAAACTTAGTCCTGGGTTCATTGGACTTTTTCATTACATACTGTATTGAATCAGCTACCATGAAGCTGGTTTTCTATGATACACAAAAGCTTATGTATAAAAGGTCAGACTATAGATTCATAGAGTCCAAGGACAGAAGGGACCATTGTGACCATCTGGTCTGATCTCCTGTATAACACAGGCCATGGGACTTCCCCAAAATAATTCTTAGAGCAGATCTTTTAGAAAAACATCCAATCTTGATTTTAAAATGGTCAGTGATGTAGAATCCACCATGACCCTCAGTAAATTGTTCCAATGGTTAATTACTCTCACCATTAAAAATATACAAAATTCCAAATTCTAGCCTCAATTTGTCTAGCTGCAACTTCCATCTATTGGATTGCGTTATACTTTTCTCTTTTAGATTGGAAAGCCCATTATTAAATATTTGTTCCCCTGGTAGATACTTATAGACTGAAATCGAGTCACCCCTTAACTTTGTCTTTGTTAAGGTAAATAGATTAAGCTCCTTGAGCAGGGCCGGCTCCATACACCAGCGCAAGAAGCTGATGCTTGGGGCAGCCAATGCAAAGGGGTGGCACATCCGGGTCTTTGGCGGCAATTCGGCGGCGGGTCCCTCAGTCCCTCTCAGAGCAAGGGACCCTCCACCAATTGCCGCCGAAAAATGAAAGCTTCGCCACTTGGGGTGGCAAGAAAGCTAGAGCCAGCCCTGTCCTTGAGTCTGTCACTATAAGGCTCATTTTCTAATCCTCTAAGGTTTCAACCCTTGTATTGCTTTTCAATGGATTTAGTTCTAAATCTTGCTATCCATCTAAGTAAGCCATAAAATGTCAGAGTCAAGTCCACACATCCATTAAAAGAGGAATGAGTAATTCATATTTTGGCATAGACTTGCTCTTCCCCGCATCCCTATTCTACACATTTGTGTTTTTTACAAGTAAAACTTTAAGTTTAGTCGGAATTTTGGGGTCTGATCCCAAAATGTGTAGAACTGAATGGAAAGACTCTCGTTAACTTGAATGGCCTTTGGATCATTGTTCATAGTTTGATAAAGAAAACTGGATTGTTATTTTACTGAAAGTCTAATAAATCATCTGGATCAATTATTCTCCATATGTAATGCCCATTTTAGCCCAAGAATAAACAAAACTTCTGTCTATATTCAATACTCATGAAAGGAGCCAAATAGGCATCCTGGAGATGGAGAAGGAGGTGCACTGTTTATCCGAACAATAACACAGTGATATAGCAAAAGGTTACTCTCACATCTCTGCTTTTATGCTTCAACCATGATCTAGAAAGACCCACCCTGATGCCTTCTGAGGGGATAGTTTAGTCTCATACCTTTCCTGTCATTGGCTTCTAAACTGCAAAAAAAGGCTACTGTGTGGTCTTAACCAGGCAAAAATTAAATCAAGCAGAATTTGGCCCAATGGTGCCAATTAGAAGCAATTGTAGTGGTAGTTTTGTTGATGTGGATATTTGTTCGTTAAGAACTGGACTGAGACCACGGATATGTATAATATAGAGCACAGTGTGTGTAAATTTGCTGATTTAGCTCTAAATTTGCAAGTGTGTGTCAAATGGAAAATAACGAGGAAAGAGTTTAAAATATTTTAAAAAACCAACACATATTAGTGTCACAATGCAGGGCAAATGCACCTGTATTCCTCCTTGATGGTCCGCCAAGGGCACCCACTCCTCAAACATCACCTCTTTTGGATAAAGACACATGTCTGTCTCCCTCCTGACTGGGTTTTTTTCAGGCTGACCACTTCCCTAACTATACTGTGATATCCCCAGCAAGCCAGATGTTCTAAACAGGACAGTGTCTGCATTTTGCTTTCTTTCTGAAGACTATGAACAGCTATAATTGCCAGCAGTCACAAGTTACCACATAGATCGTTATAAGAAAGCACATTTATTTTAAGGTGAAAGCATTAAAGAGAAAACATAGTAAAAACAATAAAAGAACCTACACACATGCTAATAAGCTCACCCCAACTTCAACTCTGGGCTCTGGTAGCTGTCAGGCCTTCAAAACCCAGAGCTGGGTTTTTCCCATGGTTTCAAGTTCAAAACGGTTT